AAACTCCAATCTGAAAAACAGTCTTGAAGTTTCGAAGAGAAAGGCTAATAAATCAGATTCATCCCTGAGCCACTTGAACAGTAAAAAAACAGAAGCAGAGTGTTGCGAGAAGCACAGCACCGACAGAAGTTCCATAGCAGATGCACACACTTGGTGTGTAACTACTTTCCCAGGACAGTCCCAGCTCCATATGTACACGACAGGGTGGAACTATGGATACACCCCTGGGTCTGCCCATTCCACAGGGCAGTGAGAAAAGGCAGCACAAGGAAAATGAAGACATGTTTACATCACACTTTCAAGGGGCAAGAAGAAGGCAGCATAGGTGGCTTGGGAAATCACTGGATTCAGAAATCTAACTCCAACTCTGCTTTTCCTGGGTATGACAGAAAGGCTGCTTAGTGAATTTCTAAACCCTAAGGGAGGCTACAGCCTAACTGCAGGGATGGTGGTCAAGAACAAATCAGAAAGTCCCCTGGGCTGGGGATTTAGCTCAGCAGCGCTGCCACCTGCCTGGCAAGCTCACGGTCCTGAGTTCGATCCCTGGTACCAAAAAAAAAAAGTCTGTGGTCAGAAAGTCCCCTGCCAACTGTAATATATGAAACAAACATCAATATGATTATAAAGAGCTAAAGGGGAAGTGGGAAGGGGAGGGGAAAGGAAACAAGAGAAAAGCAAAAATGTGAAAGAAGGAAAAAATGGAAACAAAGTTTTGTAAATAGGGAATGGTGAAGGGAGGGCAGGGGAATGGGGAATAAATAAGAACCAAGATATATCATATAAAGTTACAAGATCCCAATGATAAATGTAACTGTACTGTTTGCTTTACTTGTACCAATAAACTTAACAGGGGAAATATATGATTATACAGAGCTGGAGGTTTCTGACCTGAACAGTGATTACAAGATTTTATAAGTATTTTGTTGAGTGGCAAGAATGGAGGCAGACTAAGTGTCACAAAGCCCGGCAGTATGCCAGAAAGCGGCAGGAAACGGGCTTGGAGAAATCAGAACTCAGAACATTCCAAAAAATGTGAGAAAACACCCTTTTCTACAAAGATGACAAACAGTAAGGAGGAAGAGAAAGAGCTCTGTACTCTGGCATTTTAAAAATTAATTAATTAATTAATTAATTGTGTCGGGAATCCAACTTGGGACCTTGCACTTGTGAGGTAGGTGATGGCACCTCTGGCATAGTTTTATTTCGTGGAGATCTCCCCTGATGAATGCAGAGGTTCTTCAACACCTTTGAGCTAAAACTATAAGTAACTTCTTCCTCAATTACTCCTTTCATAGGCCTTGGGACTTGTGCTCCAGGAACACAGTGATCTTATCCCAAGGACTCAGGAGAGGATTTTGGGTGGTTTCTCCAAAGAGAACTGAGACAAGAAAAACAGAACAATGATCTACCTGTGTGCCCAAGAATCTGGGGTTAAACTTAGCTTTTTTAGGACAATGAAGAATTTGTGCCCTATGACCCTGTCTGTTCAGAGAAAGGGGCAGATGGTGGCATTTCCCATCTCAGTTCCTGTCTCAGTTCAACAGGAAGACAGAGACACTGACCTAAGTAGAAGATGAAGGAGAAAATGCCAGGAGAGGCCAAATATGACAGGAGCAGTGGACAGCCTGGCTAAGGGGTGGAAAGGATCCAGATCAGGTATGGAACAGGTGGGAAACCTCATAAAACAAAGGTCAGCTAGAACTGCTAACTCCCTCCTGTATTTTTCAGCCTGAATCTCCTATCCTATACCCCAAGCTCATTGTTTCATCAGATTTTTTCTTTACATACATGCGCTCTTTAAAAAGGCGGGAATTCCTTATTTCTTATAATTGTACTGATTTGCTATGTTACAGCAAGAAAAATCTTTTGAAGCTAGGTGTGGTGGCACACGTTTGTAATCACAGCTACTCAGGAGGTTGAGGCATGAGGGTCTCGAGTTTTAACCCAGCCTGGGTAACTTAGTGAAACTGTCTCAAAATTTTAAGAAAGGGCTGAAGGTGTAACTGAGTGGTACAGTGCTTGCCTAGCACATGTGAGATCCTTAGTACCAAAAAAAAACAAAAACAAAAAACAAAAAACAAAAAAAAAACAAACCACTTTTGAGTACAGAGACCATAATTCTTTAACATTTTGCTGACCAAGGTGTCATATGGTAGCTTATGCAATAAGCTTTACATGCCATAAAACTATCTGATCACCTTTAGTTCCACAATGTTCATGACATCTGTGTGACCAGCATTTTGTGGGGTACAGAATTAAAATGACAAGCACAAATGTACATTATATAGTGCCTTTTAAAAGGAAGTATACTTCAAATAAATGTGAAAGTAGTGAATTTTAGACTTCAAAGGTTACAATTACAGAAAAACAAGAGGGCATAAAGCACAGGAACATGAACAGGCCTCGGGCGGAGCAAGGCAATCAATGGTGTGTGATGAAAAGGAACAATTCCTGCTGTCCACTCACAAGAGGCTGTGAGAAAAAACTAAGAAATAAAAGTAAACAGTATGATGAAAAAAACTTGAGCATTACCATGAGAAAGTGAGATGTATTTTATTAACAGTATTTCTGAGGCTCATTTATCTATGTATGAATTACATGAGTCTTACTATGAAATGGATCTAAGGAAAATATAGATATTTTTAGGATGCTTTCAGAAAGAGTAGAATCAAAACATCTGTATTGTACAAACTGAATTACAGCTACTGAGAGAATTTATGGTGGGAAAAACAGCATTTGGCAGAGAAAGGGCTAAGGAACAGGTGACAGCAAGCAGCCTCACCTCTGAAAAGCCATAGCTACAGACTTTCCAGCCTAGTGGCCAGAGTCTTAAGGGGTGAGGATAGGAGGAACGGACCACTGCTATGAACAAAATTATACAAAAGTCCTGTTTAGAGAAAATAACTGTAATCCTGGATCCACAGACATAGTGAACCCCATTTACATGAAAAAAGAAGTTAACCAATACGGTATATGTAAAAACAAGAGGATCCAAGAGATTAAAAAAAAAAGATGCTAAAATACACTAACTTCATAAAATGATGATGTTAGTGGGAATTTGGTCACTTTGCAGAGAATTTAGAATATGCAAATATAATCAGTACATATTTTAAAGCTCAAAGGCGGTATTATACTTGAAACTATTTGCTAAATGTCAGGTCTATGCATCTGACAGGCTGTGTAGTATTGATGAAGAAAGACAGCTACCTGCGGTCCACAGAGACATTTAATAGCTTTTTAAGCCAACCAGTCTTAATGATCTGCCCAGGAAAACCTGGCAAATATTGCTAACAGCCATTTGACTACCAGAATTGCATGACTTGAACTGTCGGCAATTCTGAGGTACCTGCCTGACCTAACCCTCTCTGGGAGAGGTATAGCTACTGAAGCAGTTGGAGCATCAATTATACCCCAAAAGTTAATATCTGACTCTGCTGGCAAAGTGACTGAACACTTCCTAGCAGACAATAGTTTGGCTTCAAATACTTTCATGAAAGTAAATAACTGTCCATTTAAGAATGGAGATGAGGGATGCAGCTCAGAGGTAGAATGTTTGCTTAGTATGCATGAGGCTGCAGGTTCGATCCCCAGTACTGCCAAAACAACAACAACAACAACAACAACAGTGGGGGTGGAAATTCAGCAAAGAAATTTAGATTAGACTACTGGAAAATGGAATTATGAGTAGCTGGTTAAAATTAAAAGGAAATAGCACATTCATGAAAGTATAGGAGGAAGAAATATAGGATAAAATTAATTTGTAGAAATAACTCAAAATGAATAAAGAATGGAATGTCATAGAATTATAATTAACACAACTTTCCTAACTCAATAAACAATTAAGAGTGCAAAGGGTAATATTTTGATTTGACTTTATTTCTCTGATTTAAAAAAAATGTGATCACTAAAAAAAATGTGTAATTATTTTACATTCTTCCTGCATGTGAGAGATCTTAAAAAATAAAGCCCATGAATCTGCAAATTTCATGTGAATGCAGCAAAAATAAAAGCTTAATCAAAGTTGACTAAACTTTGGCTAAAAACTCATTAGCTATGTGCACTTTATATGTATATCACAAGCCAATAAAAGGTTTTTAAAACACTTATTAGTTGAAACACAAATGAAACTGTCAAAATAAATCCTAAAAAACAAAATGTTTTGACAGAAATATCAGAACAGAGTATGAAGAACATACCAGAATAATACTGCTGGTAACAGATAAGCACTTTTATAGGACCCAAAGAATCCAGTAATGTTGGTGACAGACCACGCTGGCACTGGAAAACTGAAAATGGAATGTTTCTTATGCCTATAGGTCCTCTTATCTCAAGGTGACACAAACAAGAAATAACTAACTTTGAAAGAGCAGAATCACCCCCCCACACTAATTCTGCACTCAAATGAGAATTTAGTTGCAGATCCATACCCACTGCAATAATGGTTTCTCTTCCCTATTCTATTTTTTGGTGCCGGGGATCTAACTCAGGACCTTGCATTTGTGAGGCAGGCATGGTACCACTGAGCTAAATCCCTGCCCTCTCTTCCTTATTATTCCTGCAGTGTCTCCGGGTCTGCCATGTATCCATTGCCCTAGGCCCACTACAGAACAGCTGGAGCAGCTTGCTAGCCCTCTGTGCTGGGTGGAAACAAGTTTGTTTCTCCTGGCCCTAAGAAGGTCAAGCGGCTTGGGGAGTGAATCAACGCGCCCATTCCCACCTACAGGGATGCTGCAAGTTTAGTGGGATGGATACAAACAATGTGCCAGAAAAATATAACTGTGTTGCAGACCACACGATACCAAACCTCTACAGGAATTAAGATCAGAGGACCTGACGATCTAATGAGTCTTCTCTCTAACAACAGTGCAGAACTGGAGTTTGTTTCCCTTTTGATCCGATTCCGATGGTGGAGATGACCTGGGTTCCATCTTTAGCCATCACAAACATGTACAGAAGAAAAGGTGCTGAATGTTGTGTTGTTGCTATTTTACTTTACTTACCTCTTTGACACTATGTGTTACTGCCCATATTAGAAAAACTCTTGACATCACCTGGAAAGAAGTCAGGACAACAGAAGATGGAACAATTCCTGGAAGAAATTTTGGGATAGATTAAATAAACGTACTATACTGAGTTTTATCATCTAATACGTTTTCTAAAACATTTAAATGTAAATGTTTATACCAAAACCATCTTAAGAAACTGAAAATTGCCTACTGCTATACAGATTAAAAATTCTAATGTATTCAGTATTAAAAACTTTTTTTTTCCTCAAAATACATTTATTGTTGCTTGTAATCTCAGTTATGCCAGAGACTGAGGTAGGAGGATGATGAATTCATGGCCACCCTGGGCAACTCAAGAGACCCTGTTTCAAAACCACATAGAAGAGCTGAGGATGTAGCTCAGTGGTAGAGCACTTGCCTAGAATGCACAAGGGCCTGGATATACCCAATACTTTAAAACACACACACACACAGAATAGTATTGTTCATTTCACAACTAAACCGTGGAACTGCGTCACCTTTCTTAACTCTTGCAAAAACTAATGACCAAATAAGAGCATACTTCTCACAGGGAAAACAAAAACCACTACCTAACCTTTAAATAGGACAGTGAGGATTCATAATACAAAATGGGTTTTAAAACATCAACAGTGGGTAGGAAATCAATACTATTTGTGTCTATCAATGCTGAAAACTGGATATCAGACATGACATATTCTTTTTTTTTTTTCCTGGTACTAGGGATTGAACTCAGGATCTTATGCTCGCAAGGCAGGCAAGGTGCCACTGAGCTAAATCCCTGGGTCCTACAATGACATGTTCTTTAATGGTCAAGTTGGGCACTTTTTATTATGGACTTGATAGATAATAAGCAACAAGCACAACAAAATGAAAGATTATTATTTTTACAAATATTTCTTCTTTCCTTGTTCATTATAAATAATGGTACAATTATCTTCCAATGTCCTCAAATTTTTAACACTAGAGCATTTTTATTTTGGATAATCACCAAATTCTGTTAAGTATACATTTCTTTGGTAGATTAGTGGTTACCTGAGGCTGGGAGGTTTGGAGGATAAGGGGAGTGACTGCTAATGGATTTCTTTTTGGGGTAATGAAAATGTTCTAAAATTGACTACAGTAATGGTTGCACAACTCATTATACACTCTAAATGGGTGAATTATATTTGAATAATGCTGTTATTAAAAAAATAAGCGTATGAGTGAAGTACAAAGCCTGGTTATATAATTATGTAACACAGCTAAAGAAGCTAATTAGTGAATCAAACATGTAGTGAATATACTTAGCCAGATCATACTTCAGGTAAGAAAAAGTTCAAGCACAGACACAGACATAGACACAGACAGACAGACACACACACACACAAACAAACGTGCGCGCGCGACTGAGAACTAAAAGAGTGCTTGTGAGTCACAGCAGTAAGTATTCACTGCTTAAGAAAAGACCACCTAATTCTAGCTACCATTGCTTTTTTTTTTTAACTCAAATACTAGTTTATCACACAAAAATAGAATTTTCCCTTTCATTTTTGTGCTTTCTTCTTTCACCACTAAAGCAATGGCCTAGACTGCTAGAGTTTCCAATAATGTTCCAGGGTTGTTGCTGTATCATGGTAGAGATCAAGATCCCTCTCACCAGCAAAAATCAAGCTTCCTGAGCCTGACTCATACTAATCAAATCCACAAGAGACTAGTGAATAAACCCAAATGTCAATTTTATTTATTTATAATGGTGGCACAACCTTTAAAATAAGTGAACACTGAGAGAACCTCAGCCAGAGATTTTCTGGTGTCAAAATCAGAATGCTTAGTGTGACTCTAAACAGAAGGACCTGAAAGGTCTGAGGAAAATATTTCAATTCAGCTGAGCACAGGATTATTAATTATTCCTTCTCTACTTTTAATAAAGTCTCTTTTTCAGAGAAATGTCTGTATTTATCTTGCTTTCAAAAATGCCAAACAAAAATTTTCAGAATGCTTTTCTTAAAAAGTATCCAAAAACAGCAGTATCCAAAAACAATTTACTCTCTGGTATATTTCTTGGCAGTCTTTTCTTCTAAAGCACCTTTCCTTTCCCTCTGCTTCCTTCCTTTCCCCATTCCCCCTCCCCGCTCTTTCTTTCTAATTTCCTGCCAGTCTTTTCTTCTAAGCACTCCCCCCCATCCCACCCCCCATGGTGCTGGGGATTGAACCTAGGGCCTTGCATATACTAGGCAAGTGCTCCATCTCTAAGCTACACCCCAAGCCCTTCTAAGCACATCTGAGAACACCATCAGCTCCTATTGTTTATACTCTTTGAATTATTTTCTCAGTCAATATTTTAAGAATTTTCTCTTATGTTCTTCAAAACAGTTATTAGGATATTCCTTCAAGTGATTATATTACATTTGTTTCTTTTGGTGGGGCAATTAAATTGCCTCCATCTTTTTGATTCTGTAAGTGAAGGAATAAAATATTTCAAATAACTCTTAGAAGTTTTGGAGTCAGAGACATTTCCCTAAGGAGTTTTTCCCTTGGCACAGCCCAGAAGTGTAAGTACTAGGTCAAACTGTATGAGCATCTTTACAGTTCTTGAAAAATATTGCCAAATTACTTTTTTAAAGTCTGTTAAGAATTTATACTCCTGGGCAACCCATTCAAGACCCCTGCTGTCTCTCAGGAGATATTTCCTATTTCTCAATAAATTTTCCTACTCTTGAAAAAAAAAAAAGAATTTATACTCCCAATAGCAATTATTTGAGAATGCACACCCTTGGCAATGAATTTAAATCTTAATAATTAGTGAATAAAAAAATAGATGCTTTCAAGTTTGATGCAGGTGCTGACATCTTTGGCCTTGCCTTTAATGGTTCCTGCAGCCTTGAACCAAAAGAACCTGCCTACTTAGGCAGCCTGATTCTGAGTGATATCACTTCTTTTTTTAATGGCATGTGGATTCATGTCAGCCAGTCAGCAAGCAAGCAGCAGAGCATGTCTTTGCCTGATAGGTTAGAAGTTCTAAGTCTTTTCTTGGGTTCAAGTTGGACAAAGAGCAGGCCATATACTAAAACCAAACCAAACCAAACCCAAAAAACTATCAAAAACTTGCTACCTTACTTGCTAAAGGAATGATATGCAGTACTATATAATGTCCACCCTTAACACTATAATTCAAAGTTCCTTATACAAACCCCCTGGTGGGAAATTTATTTTAGAATTTAATGTTACACAATGTTTGTTTCTTTCTAATGTTAAGAATTATATAATACACTTACTCTTTTCAACTCGATAGCCAGGAAGCTTGGAACCAAATCAAAAGCATACTACATTATTACATTTTGTGCTTAAGTTACCAGAAATCTTTGTAAGAACAGCAGTTTTCATACTGGCCAAAAGTGAAAACAATACAAGTGACTATCAACAAATATACAAAATGTGGTACATCCAAAAAAAGACTAGAATCAAATATAAAGAATAAGTAAAAAGCAACACATTGTAGTTTGGACAGTGAGACAGATTAGACTCCCTTTCCTTTCTACTTCTTGCAGTCAGCCTATGTTTGCGTTTATGAGCCATTATCCCTTATGTGAACACAATGGGGCAGGCATATCAAAACCAAACACAGATTTTTTTGGTTGATGATGATTACTTAAATTAGTGTTTTCAGATAACAGAGATTCTGCAATCTTATCAGGAAACTCTCATTAGGTCAAACTTCCTTTCAGAAAGATGTACTAAGTGCCTATTACTTGTTAATTTATCTGATAAATATTTTTGCAGCTCCTGCCTCGTGCCATGTACTGTTCTCCACACAGGGACACAATGGTGAGGAAGACAACATCTGCATGTGTGCTTGGGGACAGCTCTGATTCTTAGGGCTTTCTCATCAAGGTAAGGAGAGGGTATTAAACGTTTGTAAACAGCAGAATGGCACAATCTTGGTTGGAAACACCAAATCTTTGGCAATGCAAGGGTATAACTTGAGAAATAATTATGGGAATTTATGGAAAAGGGCAATGAGTTTGTAAAGCAATACATTGGCAGATCAAAAAAGCAGTGGTTGCGTGTATGTGTGCACATGCATGTGTGTGTGTGTAAGCAAAGTTGTATAAAGGGAATCTGGTAATCAGTTGCTTGCTTCCCCAGAACCAGGTTTCTCTGAGGACTCCCTAAACGGTTGAGCCCTGCAAAGCTGGGGTGCTGAGAGTAGCCCTCAGATGGGCTGGGCAAGGGGCTGGCATATGAGTGCATGTGACCAAAACTGGCTGAAGGTTAAGTATTCCAAAGGCAAATCAGGGTTAGGAGTAGAGGAGAGTGGTGTTCAGGCAAATTGGAGGCCACAACCAGGGAGGAAGCCAACCATCAAGGAATACATGGAAATGGAAATCAGACCCAAGCAAGACAAGAGCCTCAAAAGTCCATGCAAGAAATTAAACTAAAAGGTAACAAGTGAAGTCAGATCACAGAATCTCCCAAACCAAATACCAATACGTTGAATCAAAAGCAACAATATTCAGAGGGCTGAGGCAGGATGATCTCAAACTCAAGGGCAGCCTGAACAACTTGGGGAGACCACGGAGAGGGAGGGAGAAGGAAAGGGGGTGAGACTGAGGAAGAAAGAGGATGAGGAAGAAAATAAGGAAGAAGAGGAAGGAGGGGGTAAAAGGAGGAGTAGAGGAAGGATGGGGAGGAAGAGGAGAAAAGACAGAAAAAGAGGGTTGAAGATGTAGTTCAGTGCAAGGTTCAGGGGACAGTCTCCATTACTGGAGAGAGAAAAACATGTTAAATAACAAAAAAATCATCAGCAACTAAAAGGAATGGGTATAACTTAAGCCATGTATTTTTTGTTTGTTTGTTTGTTTTTTGTTTTGGTATCAGGCATTGAACTCAGGACCTTGTGCTTACAAAGCATGCACAGGGCCACTGAGCTAAATCCCCAGCCCAAAGCCATGTATTTTAAAAAGTATTAGAGGGACCAGGAATTTAGCTCAATGGTTCCAGCGCCTGCCTTGCAAATGCAAGGGCCCAAGTTTGATCCTCGGTATCAGAAAAAAAGAAAATGAGAAAAAAGTATTAGGTGCTG